TGTGAGGACTCTGTTTTCCACGTGGCAGGAATGAACCTTGGAGGCGAACTGCCAGGCCCTGTGCCAGGCTCTCTGGCTGCTGAAAAAATTTGCTGGGAACCAGGACCTGGGGGCTCAAGGTCTGGTGTGGATGCAGTCAGGGGAGGCTTCTGAAGCACTGGCTGGTACAGGTTCCAGAGTTGCACTCCCTTGTAGAAGCAGGTGCAATACCCGCCGTCAACCTCTGGCCCTGCCCCGGCTTTTTCAATCCCTCAGCCAGGGCTGCGTCCTGAAGCAAGCAACCTGCCACTGCTGAGCCTGTTTCCTCATCTGTAAAATGGGGACAGTGACCCTAGCATCACAAGGAGGTAAGGGGAACAAGACCAAGTGCTACATGTAAAGCCCCTGGCAGGGAACAGAGAAAGCAGCAGTGCCCTTTCTACTTCATTTCTGCCCCCTCCTCCCTGGAAGGCCCGTCCTCCCCTTCTGCAGGGGTTCTCCATCTCCGGGACCACAGACCCATTTGAGAATCTGTCAAAAGCCATGAGCTCTCTCCCTAGAAAAATGCAGGAGTCAGGGCCGGGCGGGGACCTGGGCACACAGAGTCCACGCTGGCCTCATGATCAGGAGGGTGTGTCGGAGCCGTATGGACACGAGGGACACCAGGATACAAACTGTCACCCACTAATGTGCAAAATCACAGCCCTGCCCTCCCTGGGGCAGGAGGAGGCTGGGGACACAGGAAGGCCGAAAGTCAAAATGCTTGTGTTCTACCATCTCAGAGGGCCTGTGTGGTCAAACGGGCTGTGGCCCAGTGCCCGGCTTGCCAGCCAGACCCTGCCTACAGCTTGAGGCTCCCCTTCCTGGGGACAGGGAGCTGGGGAAGGAGGGTAGATGAGGTGGAAACAGAAGGGTGGTTATTCCCATGGTCAGATGCTGCCCTGGTGGCCACGGGGAGGAGGCCAGAGGCATGCAGTTATTTTTCTTTTACAGTCTGTCGAGCAGGCTGGGCTGCTCCTCTGTGGTTGGTGACTTAGTGCCAGCCTCTATCCCTCCTCTGCTTCACCCCTGGGCACCCCTCTCCTCTGTGGGCACTCCTGGCACCTAGTGGTATCCTCCTTCCAACTGTCCCTGAATGACCCTGGGAAATAGCACTGGGTTTTAGGTCCTGGCCAGCCCCAACTCGCTGTAAGTCTGTGGTAAGGGACTTCCCTCTTGGGATCCATTTTCCCATCTGTGAAATGGGCAGATGAACCGCACTAATGGTTATTAAACTGTGTTCCAACATCTTGGGGCTGACGGTCGGGGGCTGCGGTAGACAAGAGGGAGGTGAGAGGAACCAGCAGGGCTGTGGGCTGCGGCTCTTACAAAGCAGCTCCTGGTTACAAACAAATGCAGTTCTGTTCCAAAGAAAAGCATGAAAGCCCTGGACCAGATGACTGCCTGGGTTTCTTGTGTTCCTACCAGCCTTGCCTCATCTTCCTGGACCCCCTACATCTCCAAGCCAGTCTAGGCCACCCCTGGAAGGACCAAGAAAATCCTAGTTGCCAACCCAGGAGGCTGGGCAGGTCTGTGAAGATGCCAAACGTCCTTTCCAGAGCCCACTCCCCTGCCATCTCCCCGCGCTGTCCCCCTGGTTGCCCAGCTGCTGACTGTGGCTCCACCTCTCTGGAGCACTGTCTGGGTTCATGTGGTTGCTGCTTGGGAGGGGAAAAGGAGTGTAGAGGCAGGATGGGAGGGAAGGAGGAGGGTCTTCTAGAAAGGCAGCTCAGGGTCACTGTGAGTCACGGCCAACCAACGCTGGCCCGCCCTGCGAATTCCAGCTGGGGTGGGGCTCCCCGAGGTCCCAGGGCTACAACAGGGAAAGTCAGATAGAGGCTGGCCAAAGGCCATGGCACACATTATTGCTTTATTGCTTTATTTCGACCCCACCTAGGTCCACAGGATGCTTGTGCTAATTGAGGGCACTTCATAGTCCTGAAGACCTTGGGCTACTTCCTGCCTCCGTGATGTCCTCTCCATCCCCCCTCCCCTAAGCCAGGCTATTGGAGATGATGGTGTCACCAGCTGCTGGGACTACCCATGGGGCTGGGTGTGAGGGAGAAGAGGTTACCAGATCCTCAGGTGTCTCAGGTGGCTGCAGCCTGGGCCACAGCCCTGGGAACAGGCTCCTTTCTGACTCTGCACCCATGGCCTGCCCTCGTTCTCAGGAAGACACAGAATGGGGGTAGGCACACGAGGCCTGCTGCATGTGCAAAGGAAGTGGAAGCATCAGATCCAGGTGTGGTCCCTGCAGCCCCTCCTGTGCACTGTACTAGTCTTGGAGGGGCTGGTTTGTCTTAAAAAGCACAAGGCATTGAGGACAATCCCATTTTCCTCATGATAGGTCTAAACGGTACCACCTCTAGTACTGTTTGTGGACGGTTCCTCATCAGGATGTCTGGGAACACCAGGAGGTACGCCTGAGTCACTGCTGGTGGGGAGTGACACTCGGAGAGTGTGGCTGGCCTGACACCAAGTCACCCTTGGCTCCCTTACTGAGCTGCCGGACCCAACACACAGCAGTACATGGTATCTCAAAGAAGGGGGCCCTACATGACTGGAGCATGAATAAACAGGTCTGGGGACTCACTGCAATGGGGAGAGATGATGGGCTTGGGAATAGGGGGTGCATGTTTCCAACAAGTGAGTAGAGATTCATACAAGGCAGTCAGAATGGCATTTCTCAAAGTGTGGTCTGTAGACTTTGCAGAAGCACCCTTAAGACCATTTTAGGGGTGCTGTGGGGACCTCTTTTCCAATGACATATCTATGTGATGCCAGATTTTCTTCATAGACGTCAATTAAAACAACCTGTCGCAAGACCCAATGCAAAAGCGCGAGTCTGATAGCTGTCTTCTAGAAAGTGAGACATGCAAGAGAGTCACAAAAATGGGGAGCAACACCACTCTCCTCACGTGGTTTTTCTTTTCCTTTGGAAAATATAGTTATTTTCATAAAAATGTATTTCTTCACTTGTGAACTTATTCTTTTTTATTCTGAGACAGGGTCTTGCTCTGTCATCCGGGCTGGACTGCAGCGGTGCGATCATAGCTTGCTGCAACGTGGAACTCCTGGGCTCAAGTGATCCTCCTGCCTCAGCCTCCAGGGTAGCTGGGACTACAAGTGTGAGGCACTGTAAGGAGCTGCTGTTATTTTTTTAGATGTGAAAACAACCCTAGGAATGGTAACAGCTGGCATTTTGCATTCACGTTGGCACACGTGTGAGCAAGGCAATGGCACGGAGTGTACATGCTCACTGCCACTCACTCGATGCCTCCCCACAGTTGGACTTGCACCTTCACTCTGTATTCCTGTGCCATAGGGAAGTCACCCAGTACCTGTTTCCCCCAAAGCGGAATACACAGGTGCTTTCTCTTCTGAGCTCTGGCCTCCCCGAGAATTCTTTCATGTTGATGACACACCTGAAGACAACCTGGCTCAACAGAAACTCCCTGCAAAATATCGCAGATAGACTTGGTTACCCTCTGACTTTCAGTCCTGCAGATGAGAATGAGGCTATCTGATTTTTATTTCTTTAGCTGCTTGTTCAGCCCTGGCACCTATAGGGCTGTCTTTGCCACAAAACCCCACTGTGTCTCCTGGACAGCCCCAGCAGACTGTCCTCTTCCTAGGAATATCAGTTCAGCATACAGGAGACCTCTGAAGCAACTGATATCTCTACAGCAACTTCTCCAAGTCACCAAAGGGGCATCTCATTCATGACATCGCCCAAACTCCAAAAATCCCTTCCCTGTCTCTTCCTCGCTACTCCAACCATCCCTCGCTTTCTCATTTCCACCCTGAACACCCAGCCCAAATCTTTCTCATACAAATAAACTGAACTTCTCTGGCCAATCCAGTTCTCAGATCCAAAAAGCCCCGTAAAATCCCAG